TCGTTGATTTAACTGTTACAATTTCACTTTTAGTGATAGAAATTATAATATCTTAATATTGTAGATATATGAAAATATGTGTTAAGTATTTATTTATTTAAATAATGTAATGGTTCAAAATAAAATAAGACACAAAAGATAGACTTAATGCTAGTAGCATTCTCTACTAGTCAACCTTTGGGATGAACAGTGAATCACGAACGCGGTACTTTATTATTGGTATAAAGACGTTTTTGTTTATCTATTAATATACCTACTTAATAAAATCGTAATTGATGTATATCTGTTTATTGACTCATCATTAGAAAATAACGAATTTCAATAAAATTTTATAACGGACTAATAGTGTACCTATTAGTTACTTGTTTAAATGTCCTAGTATACCTACATGAAAAGTATGCCACTGAATATTGAAGTATGTTATTTGCCGTGATTCCAAAACTATATTGTTGTTTTTATTAACATTACACGGTGAGATCGAAATCTTTTTAAAGTACTATTCTATCAGTAAAATTTAGCGAATTTCCTTAAGGAACATATCTAGTAGGTCCATAAAGGAAATAAAACTTTGAGGTTCCTCCATATTAACAAGACGCGTTGAAAATATTTTGTTTCGAATTTTTTACAAAATGTTTGTTCTAATAGGTAAGTATATTATATAGTATGGGTAGACTTGCATTATGCATGGCCACAAATACTATACCATAACAATACTATAAAAATATGACTAGTATAGTCATACTTCAATGACTATCATCTGTATAAATATTTTAATTTTTCATTTATTTTCTATATCTAGTTTACTTATTTGGGATTAATATCCGGAGTGATATTACACTATCGATTTTTTTTTTATTTAGGGTTAACCAATGATATGTAAATCAGTAGTATTAGAATCAGTTTAAAAGTATTGTATTAATCAACCAATGTTTTGTGTTAAATTTTCGATTTGAATGAAAGTGACAAAACAGTATAATAGTTAAAATTGGTTTTAGTTATTATGAATAAGGTTATAAGATTAAGTTCTTAGAGCATATAAAGAGATTATTCTACAAAATGTAACGTTAAAATTTATTTAGTAGTTAGTACTTACTATTCTTATTATACGTGTAAAAGTTAGTTAATTTATAACCTTTTAGTATTTTAACGACCCGTCCAATCTTTATGAAATTCGGTACACACGTACTAGCATTTTTTTAAGAATTTTTGAAATCGTTTTATAACTGACAGAGTAATAAGGCAACAAACAAACCTTATAACTCCGTCAGGCATACATCAAATTGGATATTTTTTCCTTTATCTGAAGGAATATACTTTTAGATTGGTCTCATAGAAATGATATTAAACTCAGTTCAATGGTTTAGTTTTTAAATCAAATTAACCGATTTTGTCATGTTTGGAATCCGTTTATTTTGTGAAACAAAACCTTAATTATTATGTTTGTAATCGTTAGAGTAAAATTCATATAAATATGTTTGAAAAAAATGTACAGAAAATGAAAAATTGGGTTAAAAAAATCTCTATATAAAAAAAGAGTGAGTGAGACAGAAGACAGTAGGGAGATTTTTATAGTACATCCGTGTGAATCTGAAGCGAGCAGCTGGTAATATATAAAAATGTAATCGGAAAGAAAGATTGCACTTTCGACCGATTCAAATTTGATAGGAAAATTATAATCAAACTCATGTGAAATGTAATTCGCTCACCGTCATTATAATTGCTTATCTTTTTGGAATTTTCCTATTTATGCCTACTAAGCATAATCTCAATTTGTTTTTTAATTTTTGTTTTATGCAACTTAGAATGGCAAACAAGCTGACGGCCCACCTGATTGAAAGTGGTGACCGTCGCCTATAGACATAAGCAGTACCATGGACATAACAGAGTATACTGTTTCGCCCTTGATACCCCCCATGCATTGCCATTTCTGAGGACTCAGGTGTTATTTCTCCGTACCCAGTAAATTCACGTCATATCCCACCCTTTAAACCGAAACACAGGCATGCAAACACAACTGCTTTACGGTTGAAACACGAATGGTACAGAGGTACCCAAGCAATCGACTTTTGTACAAAGTCTCCCTCTGGTTTGTGATTTCGAATCGTGTCTTGAATAATTTATAAAGTGTGAGTTCAACTCACAGTTTATAAATTATTAACAAAGCAATAAACTGTTCATTTTTATTAGTTGTGTTACATAACGATTATGAAGATTATTTAAGAGTTGTTTAGTTTCGTGTGTATGTGTATGCGTATATACAAATTGCGTAAAACGTAGGAATTATTAAAATAAAGTGACTGAAATGTATCTACTTCCTAACAATAAACATGTGATGACGTCAGTTGGTATTCAGCTACAGTATCAGCTGGGATGGGTGACTGTTAGCTACAAAGCCGTGAACCGGTCCGTTGAAGGTCGTGTGTAGTCATGAGTGTGATGTCAAATAGCATTACTCGAATAATAATAAATATACCTAGCATTTATCTTCCACAATTCAAATACACAGGACAAGAAAGAGATTATGGCAAATATGTAAGAAATCGATAGCGTTGACTTTAAGTTCTACTTTAGATGTTGGTGATGGATTAATGGTGGGTATATTTAAGTTTAGCTGGTGATAAAGCCCAAGTGTTGTGGTATAACGAAACATTAGCTATAGTTAAAGGATATAGTTAAAGGATATAGTTAAAGGAAATGGAATTATGAAAATGTTGTATTCTGTTTTTTTCTGACCGAGTCTTATCTGGACAGGCACCTACTTAGTTATAATGCCAAATCGAGTACTTACGTGTATACATTTTCATTTTGTGCGTATGAATATGAAAAGTTATCAGGAAGAAACGACTGGTTTGTTTAGGTAAACCTACTTAACATAGTGATGTATGTATCAAGAATATTGTATTTGCGTGTATACATTTGTCTGTCTTTTTACCTGCCAAGGTAGCATGTTTTTTTTAAAACATATTCCTAGATATGCCTATTCGTTTCTTTGCCCGATATTTTTGTTGTGAAATTGTCCGAGAGTCTGTAATAATAAAGATTAATGGAGAATGAATTACGTGGTTTACAAAAGAACTCGGTAATAGTATTTTGTGAAATTTTTACAGACTCTTTACACTAATTTGACCACATAGACCACTAAATACTCCCCTTTCTCCTCAAACTGTGCCCTTATAATTAACTGTGGTTTTTTATTTTATACTAAGACTGTTTAAAAAGATTTTTTTTAAATATATTGTATGTACAATACTGAATAATATGTGAAATGCCTAAAAATTTTTTAAGGATAGGTATCACTGTGATATAGGTGTTATTATCGACCCATAACTCGCTCTTACTTGACTTAAAGTCAGGTTTAGTATAGGCTAGGCCGGATTAACCATACTGTGGGGGAGGGGGAACGGATTGTTATTAATGGGGTTTAATAGCCCCTTTGCTAGCAATATATAACCAGATAGGGTTATCTGGTCCATCTCCACGCGGTTCCCTCTGGAAACTATTGTGATTAATTTATCGTTGAATTCGTCACGATGAGCTAACTGACATGCCTTTTCATCTTCACCTATCACCTCTCACTAGTGCCCCGTTAGTGTATACCGATAGCGCAGGCGGGGTTACCATTCCATTATCATCCATTAAAAAAACATACTGGGGTCCCTAGGTAATATACGTCTCGCTTACAGAATACTACTATAATATATATAGGGGACCTATTCTATACATTACGCTAATAAACGAAATCCATTCATTAAAAGTAGTGTTAGTATTAATTAACGTCTTAAATAATGCAGTACAAAATATGTATGTACGGACCTATAATAAAAGGTCCGTATAAAATAATATAAAATAAACATAATGGCACTAAATAATAATTTACTGCCGTTGATACAGATACAGGTGTTCTTTTTTTCGAGAATTTAAGTTATAGTTTTTGGTAATTAAAAGATATTAATATATAAATTATTATAATACATTAATATAGTATTAATAAGTAGATACTAACACTAGTTTTAAGGAAGGGTTTTTGTTAATTAATATATTATATATAAAGACTTTTCTCTAATAGCAATGAAAGTTATTGATAAAAATAAAGGGGGGCACCGATCCCACGAGTGCTCGGGGGCTCTAGCACCCATGTGAGTGGGTGCAGAGCACCCATGACGCTAAGACATCATAATATAACTAAAACAATCTTCATTTAATTGTCTGTTGTTTAGGTCTAGCTTGTTTGTCCAGTAAGCAGTACCCGTTTTTTAATATAAATAATGAAGATGTACCTAGCTATTAAAAGAATATGAACGTCCACGCGATTTTCCAGAAGCTAACACCCCACAAGATAAGCATTATTATGACACATATTCTATTTATCCTGTATATTTGACAACCTTTAGTTTTTAGGTTTAGTGGTTTACATTATCGCTTTATCAGTAGTCATTAGCTCAAATCCAACAATATAATTGCTTGAATTTATGAGTATGTTCGTTTCGATTTGGATATTTTTAATGTATAATATATTTACGAAGAAAAGTAAATATTTATATCAAGAGTGTAATACTCATAGTATAAGTTCTGTTTAGTTTATAACCAAATAGTGTTGTGTAATATATCCAAGGGTAGGTATTTATTGTTTTTTTTGTTAACCTTAATATATCAATATTGATATATTTCTTCCAATTTTTGTGTAATAATTATACATTTTAGCTGTCTATTTCTGAAAAAAAAAATTTGTATTGATCTGCTCTATTCAGAAGTTCAATAAATCTAGATAATTAATAGTCCAATTAGCACTTTTTATTGCTTTTTACTCTCTAATCGCTTGATTCCATTAAATAAAGATTGATAAAATATATCAAATTATTTGAACATAGAGAGCATGATCGTTTGTGGCGGCATTAACAGTAACAAAAATAAAATCTATTTCTTATCATATCTGTGGCGACTCGTATTTGTGATTGCCTATGTTACAATTTGTGTTCCTTTACTGTCAAATAAGATCTGTCAGTATGACTGCGTTTGACTCATTGAGTCAATCGTGTCGTGGACTGTGGTCTTCAATTTAATGGATACCGCGCATTTGAGTTGTTTGTACTAGGCGCGGTTATAAAAACGTTACCTACCACCTATCCCTTTGTCTTACACGCGCAAATGTTATGTTCTAAAGCCATCTTTTATTGATTTTGCATTAAAAGTTTTTCAGTGTATGAGCGTACAAAGTACAATTCCATTATTGTGTATTAATTACGGCAGATCGAATACAAGGTGTCATTGGACAAAATCAGTCATCCGTTTCGTGCATGTGTCCTTAAGAGTCTCAACATCAATCTAACTAATCGTGATAGTGTCGTCCTGTGATTGTACTTATTGAAACAGTCTGTTGTATTTTTCAATATTCAGTGTGCTGTTGGGTGAAATTTCTAGATTGTTCAGTGAAGTGGAGTGGAAAAATCACCGCTTCTGGCCACGGTTGGCACCTAAATCTTATCACCGGAAGAACCAATGTTATTTTAAGGTTTGTATTTATTGCAGTATCTGTAACAAACAAATTTTGATCGAAACTAATATATCATTACGAAACAGGTGTTTATGGATTACTTACATGTTATAAAGGCGTTCGATGCAATGCCACATTGTATTGTTAGCGTTCAATGAAGTCAAGTTATAGGTGGTTTGTGTAGGTGTTTGTATAAAATAGGTAGGTAGATAGCTAAATATATAGGTTGTGGTATATAATCACTGACATCCCACCTTTATTCTGTTATACTTGTCATATTTGGTAAACAATTCTGGTATATCTTTTTATTGAATTCTGTCATTCAAAAATAAGAAAGATAAAACTTCATGAAACATAAATAGACATTTATGTTTCATGAAGATGTTCATAGTTCTTTAGGTAATGATTAAAAAAAAAAAACAAAATTCTCTTGTCAATTCCTCAATAATTGATTATAGGGTCAGGCATGACAGATGCATATTGTATATATAATAAAGATATATATTGTTCCAATATCTAGCTTTTAGACATCATGTGCCATACAAATTATTTTAGATATACAGTGGAGATTTAATTATTCATATGTCTAACAGTGAGTAATGTTTAAGTAAATCACATCAATATTTTTTGTTTTGAATTCCTACCTTGCATTATGTATTAATCTTAGAAAGATGTATCATAAATTGTCTTTCTGCAGTTAATTAAAAAAAAAAAAATACATTGCTTCAAATATTCAATTACCAAGAACTTAGAGTATCAGAATTACTTTTGACAAAAGTTTGGGTAATGGGGTCTCTAACATGGTAGATTTGCTGTATTGATATGTCCAAGTGAGTGTTGTCAGTCAGTTGTATACATATGTATATGTATATAATAAGAACTAACTGTATTTCACTGCTCTGTCTGCATTACATAAAGTATCTTATGTGCTGCTAAGTTAGGTTACAAATTTTATACAAATCCATTCAATAGTTTTTGTGTGAAATAGTAACAAACATCCATCCATCCTTACAAATTTTCATATTTATTATATGAATAGGATTACCTGATTTAAATAAACTATGAGTGATTGAATATAAAACATTTAAATATCTATATCTGGTAAACAGACCTGCATTATGTAAACTTTGTACTATTTTTAAGTTAAATGTGTAATGTTAATGTCAATGTCACAAAAAAAAAAAAAACAAAATCAAAATGGTGTATCACAATCACATATTTCTGTTTATGGTAGTATTTATTGTAACAATTGAACAGAAATAGATAAAAGAAAACAGTTTTTACTAAGTAAAAGACAGGTGGGTTGAATGAATATTATTTAAATTATATACAGTAAATCATGCACTCTGTGTATACTTAGTATATGCAATACTATGCTAAGTATATCCCAATTGTCAACTAAATATACTTTTTTGTTTTAGTTGAGTATATTTACAACAATAAAACATTTTTTTTATTATTAATAACATCACAATTGATTTATCTATATTTTACTTAAATTATTGTTATAAATGTTTCATTACAAAATTAATATTATAGTACCATTGTAAGTTATGAATAGAACAAATTTTAATTACTTTCATGTTTTGAAGTGTAGTTTGGTTTTAATGTACATATTTAATTTGGGTTACTTGTGGATATATCAGAAAAAGATAATCTATAAAATGACACTTTTTATATGTAAGTTTACAGCTTCTTAAACATTTTAATGTTTAATATTTTAGAATCATTACAAAATTCTTATACGAGAATTGATAGCGAAAATTGTCACATTTAATCTAAGTAAAGCTTTGAATGTTTACAATATAATAATAGTAACAAATATCTTCTATTACAAATTCAAAATTAAATTTCTTTTAACTTTTGAACTGTTACATGCCATTCATTGCATACCTTAGACATATTAATGGTATTGTTATTTCATCTTACTTCTGTTATTGCATTTGTATTTAATTCTGTATGCAAGTGAGTACTTCATGCCTTTTATCTTGGTAAATTCAATTAATTTCTGAGGATAATTTAGTGGAATTTGGATAATAAAATTAGATGCAGGTATCTCGGGACTGTCTCTTATGGCAGTCTATGGGGCAGGCCTATGTTCAGCAGTGAATAGATAATGGCTGATATAATGATGATTAATGTAATTGAAAATGTTCTCTATCTACACAGTTGCACAGCTTTAAGGCATATTATATTATAATTTTTAATATGTTAAATATCAAGTTATGTATTTTTGTTTTGTTTCTGTTCTATTTTTTAAACTGACCTGTTTCTAAAATTAAAACTTGATAGTTTAGCAAAACTATTGTGTTTATGGACCAATAAAAACTAAATGCGATGTAGTTCTGATGCAATATAATATAATACTAATATTATAAATGTGAAAACGAGATTGTTTGTTACTTTATCCCTTAATCAGGCCCCATTTGCACTGGCATTAAAACATATTTTTAAATATGGTGTGTTCTTAATTTTTATCTGTACAATATCTGTTTCTTAAAAAATATTAAAATTAAAACAAAAAAAAGTGGTTGTATTATGCACTATGCCTGTTAAGGAGCTCTCTGTTGTTTTATAATTTGTTTCCATTATCCCTATTTTAATTTTTTTTTCCCCTTTTAATTTTTTTTTTATGCTACTAGAAGAATGTTATTTTTGTTAAAAAAAATAAAATGTTATTTTTGTTATAAAAAACCTAATAATTTACAATTATATTTTTATTTCAAAATCATCTTTTGTATAATGGAAACAGTGTCCATATCATACTATCGCCAGACTGGTATAGGGCATATAATGACCACTTTCTTTGAATAATGATTTTTCCCAAAATGAATTGTTTAGTAAAAAATGTTTAGCTTCATACGAAAGATACAAATATTGGTAATCAAATAAAGGTTCAATGAATTAAAAAAAAGACAAAGATCACTATAAAACTCCAATTACCTAGGTGGTCGATAAATCGTACTATGCTTGATTAAGGGTTATACTACAGCTTAACCAATTACTATGAAATTTACACATACTAAGTGAGATACTTTTTATCCTAGTCAATAAACATCAGGAAAATAAAATTGCAGGTAAAAGCTTATTCTAATATAAGTTTTAGTTTATATTGGTACTTATTTATTTATTTTTTATTGATCACATTACATAAAATGATTGGTACAAAAAGGTGGACTTAATGCTAAACAACATTTTTTTTTATACAACTTAGTATGTTAAACAAGCTGACGGCCCATCTGATGGAAAGTGATAACCATCGCCTATAGACATGAGCAGTACCATAGAAATAACAGAGTATACTGTTTCACCCATGATACCCCCCATGTGTTGCCATTTCTAAGGACTCAGGTGTTATTCCTCTGTACCCAGTGAATTCACAGTATATCGCACCCTTCAAACCAAAACACAGCCATGCAAACACAACTGTTTCACGGTTGAAACATGAATTGGACAGAGGTACCCAAGCAATTGACTTTTGTACAAAGTCTGGTAAATTCTCTCACAGTCAATCTTTGGCAAAACAGAAATGTAATTGTGCAATAAAAAATTGAAAATTGATAACTTGAAACTTTGCTATAATATGTCTGTTATATTTAGAGATATTGGTATTTTAAATTTAATGTACAAAAGTCGATTGCTTGCATACATCTGTCCCATTCGTGTTTCTACCGTGAAGCAGTTGTGTTTGCATGGCTGTGTTTTGGTTTGAAGGGTGGGATATGGTGTCAATTTTCAGGGTACAGAGGAATAACACCTGAGCCCTCAGGAATGACAACGCATGAGAGGTATCATGGGCAAAACAGTATACTCTGTAATGTCCATAGTACTGTTCATGTCTATAGGCAACAGTTACCATTTTAAAAAATAATATAAAAAATAACCTCCTCAATCCTCTTAATGGAAATAACATTTTGTTTCAAATTTTATAAAAATTTTAAGACTTAGACAAACTGTAGCTGTTTATTTCCGATTGATTTATTTAAAAAAATATCTGCTAACAAACTAAAACGTTAATCATGCAATAATAAGAATATTATTGCATGATTCACTGATGAAAACAGTCACTGAAAATTTGGATCCATTTGATGGCAAAAAATTGCCATCAAATGGCAAAAATGTATTTAAAAAATTCCAAAGCAAAAGTGAGTAGTTGCAAACTTTTTAGTGTTAGATTCATATGCTGCATATCCTATGTTTATGTTTTTATTATTGTTTTGATTCCCTAGCAGAATATCTACTTTTTAATTATTCAAGAAACATTTAAAAATAAATGTTTTTGAAAATTTATATATTTGTTGATCTTGCCATACTTTGGTATGTTGAAATATGAACATTCTAAGATGCCAATGAGAATACAGGATACTGAGGCAATACATACCATTATTCTCAAGAAGTGCAACAGATGAATTGTAATTATCACATACCTTTATACATCCTGGAGATGAAAATAAGTAGTGACTCATTTTTTTTTTACTCCATCACTACACAGATGTATTTTTGATGATGATGATAATAGTGGTTGATGATAGACATCATTAGTTGTTTTGAAATTTTGACTTGCATACAACACATTACTATGTACTTTCATCTGGGCTTCCAACTAGAATAGACCATACAGTGAATAGAAATTCTTATTTAATCCCATGACAGGGTTAGTAAACAGACTTTAATTTAGTCATAAGAAATATTATATGGTGAATGCTAGATAATACCTACTATTAATCACCTACAAAGTTTGACTCACAAAACACACACTTCCACTGTGTTTTTAACTAGAAGAGTGGCATAGAGGAGTAAAGTGAATACGTAATGGAGGCCCAGCATCTAATGATTATAGCTGTTATAGCCATCCACTATAGATTATATATGATGTCGCACAATTTCTGTTTTCTTTATCTACCCGAACAAGTTTTGAAGTTCATGTAGCTAGTGAAGATTATACTAGTCTAGGAACGACAAAAGAAACCTAGCATTTAAATTAATTCAGGCTTTAGTAAAATTATTGCTATATGCTCTGGTTTTGTCCTGGTATTCAATTACATATTAATGTGAGTTTTTTTTCTTTAGTTTATTTCTCTTAGAACCTTGTGATTGTAATAGACGACAAAACGTTGTTTACATAGCAGTATGATTCTATAAGACCACCAGAAAAATTATTACCACAGCTATGGGCATATATAAAGGTTTCGTCCATAATAGACCTCCCTAAGTACTTATTTATGTGACGCTGCGTACAGCAAGTGTTGAACTTTAGGTGTTAAATTCTTTTTGTTCTTCATAGAATAAAAATGATATTTCATCCTGTCTGTTCTACTGGTCTAGAAGGGCGCCATCGTAATTTTTACTTGGCACTTTAATGGTTCTATCAATTGTAATGAAAACTGTATGGGATGGAGAAGTACATAGGCACTTATTTGTCCCGGTCAAACAACGTATCCCAGTCATGAGTAATAATTTAGTTTTTAATCAATATTAGCTTTGTGTTCTAATTAGTTTACGTTTAATACAGATAGGACCATAATATCGCATATTTTACATGAAATTGACAATCAAGTTGGTGTGTGATACAAGATAGAAGAGACAATGTTATTCATTATTATGAAAAATAAAATTTTTAAACGCAATATATGAGATATGATTTACTCTTTATCATACGTACTGGTACGCACTGGTAATATTTCAGAATTAATATTCGAATAGAAAATCAGTGCTATTCGATTATATTCGAATAATTTTATACCCACATTTCTTATTAATAAAACAAAGAAAATATACTTCGTAAAAATAATTTGAAATGAGCGATTTCTTCTTTACAAAGTTATCAAGGTAATAAACCAAAATAGCCGGATAGATGCTCTTTGCTTTTTACTATATCGTTGATTCAATCAGTTTTCAGAAAAAATAATTTAAGGTTTAGTTTCAGTATAAGTTATTTCATTACCAACTATATTTATCCTAGAAATTGTTACTAGAGTCAGCCTCAATCTCTTCTCCAATTTTGTTTGCTCCTCCATTTTTTCGCAACAAGAGGGGCCTACCATGAAATATTTTCCGAAATTTCAGGGCCGAACGAAACACAAATGTGATAAATTACATAATACATACCGTTTAAAAATATTAAAATATAATTCATTTGGACTACTTATTGTGATACGATTCATGATGAACAAAATGTTAAGCTCTATTTACTGGGCCGTTTCCGTATTAATAAAACACTTTCATTATATGGTAGACCCCGAGATACCTTAATTTATCCGTTTTCACAATTTCCTCTTTACAATTCGGAAATGTCCTCGGGATATGGTAGGTACTCTCTCATAGCGTGAGTTCTTAACACAGGGACGTTTTGTTATGCCTAGTGTGATCACTCCATTACCCTGATACTCATTTTCTATTTCTTCAAATATATTTTTCCATTTATTTACTACTAAGTAAACGAGATCTTACCTACTAGAACACACTCAAATTCTCTAGCTTATTTTCTAACATGCCTATCCAGTTCTGTCATATGAGAAAATATTTAATAAAATTATACTTATTGGTTACTTTTCTTTTGGATTATTCGAATGATATTCGAATACTGTCTCGAAAAAAGAACAAATATTCGAATATCAAAATTATCGAATTTTGCAAGTCCTATTACCTAGTACCCCACCAGGGTGTACAAATAGTACTGTCAGTGTCAGTACTGATAGTGCAGGTGGGGTTACTATTCTATTTTCATCCCATTAAAAAAACATTCCGCATCATCTTTCCGTAGGTGAATGGGGGGGGGGGGGGAGGGTTACGGTTTGTTACGCATTCACGCAAAAATGGTTGAACGAATTTTGTAATTTTTGGTATAGTATTCTTTATATACTGTTGCATACGAGCAACGCCGCGGCGAACAGCTACATCACACTTAATTCATATTTCTTGGTGGTTCAAAATGTAGTCTACTAGCTGGTTCGGTGAATGTTGATTTGTCCCCTACCGCCACATGATCCATTTATAAAACCGGATCAATTTATAAAAATGGATACGGTAGGTTAAAAAAACTGTCCTATATATCAATTTGAGCAAATGATTTACAAAGTTAAAATCAATTCAGCGGTTTCAGAGATTACCTTGAATAAACATCATAATACAAGTGGAAAATTTATAATTATGCCTCGTTTTTGCACGCAATGTCTTATGTGTTAGTTTTGAATAATAAAATAATAAAAAAGATAATTATATTTTTACATTTACTTACATATTTAGACGTCTAAAGTTAGATATTCACTTATAAAGATTTCCTATAATAGTAGATACTGCACGAACGAAAAGTTTGCAAACGATTGCTAATTGTCACAAAAGATATTACATAGCGTGATTACTTCCTTATAGCTAGATGGATTAAATGCATTTTTTCTTTGACAAACAGCGCTATTTGCAATCTAACTAGTTTATATTAATAATTTTAGTATCTAAACCGTTTTGCAAAAGCTGATCATTAATTTATTTTATAATAGCTAATATAAAAAAATATGTAAACAGTTGTTATTCCTTGATTTGGCTATTTCTTAGTTTCCTGATAAATATAGTTCCTAAAAAAACAGAAAAGAAAAGTACAAGAAAAAAATACAAAATGTGTAGATCGTATGAACACACGAGGCTTTTAAGATAACTATGCCTGTATATAGAATCAGAAACAAAAATTTTTAGAAATTTTGTCAATTTGCATGTTTCGTCCAGTACACGCAAAAAACGACATCAAATTAAATGCAATTTTCAAAGTTGTTGTCTTGAGGATTGACTTAAAATTTTATGTAAGTTTTATCTTGACAGCACGTCTAGAAATAATCAGTTGATTTTCCATTTCTGAAATCCATGCGTGTAAAGTAGCGACCAAAAAGCTAGCCTATATAAAAAGCAAATAAGTGAGTGAAAGAGAAGATTTCTTTTTTTAATTAATAGGCAGACCCATGCTAGGTCGAACAGCTAGTTTTTAATAAAAAACCGTTTTAGCAATGATAAATAAATTGGCGTGGCGACCCCTTTTGATCTAAAGTGATAATTGCCTCTTATAGTTACGAATAACACCGTTATAGTTCATAGTATAATGATAACCGTCATCACATGTAATTAGAAGTGGCAACAAATGAAGGGCGTCATCCTTTTATGTGTTGCTACTCCTGATTAGGTACTAAGGTGTTATGCTTCTTGTGTCCATTGTAATCAATGGACACAAGATGTATAATACTGGCTGTTTAGAAAATCTTAGATTGAAATTTAGAGCATTGTACGGTTTTCGTAGACAGTCCCTATATGTAAAATACTTTAAAAACGGTTAACAGTTTTTTTTTTTCAATGCGGAAAGAGCTACCCACATAGGTAAGTAATTTGGTTATTGACCTCCTTGATCAGATATGTGCATAAGATCACCAAGAATATAAAATATTTATTTGTAGAATTACTTAAATAAACATTTATGATCAATTTATATTAAGTATGTTAATGTGAAATCTGCAGTGATGGATGGAGTAAATTCACCATGAGTATACTTCCTAAATTAAATCGAGAATTTTAGAAACTCGCGACCGGTTCTTTGTCGCTGTTTTACACGTAACTACATATTTCGGTTTATATTAGCTGTGTATATCCATATAATATTAATACTACCATAACATTCATAGGAGCTTTCCCAGCCGAGCATATTACATATAATAGGTATACCTAACTGTTCATTTATACTATATATATTTATATAACTGAAGCTATAGTTTTAGTTCAATTATTAGTTGAAATTACTTGTAAATAAAACTAAACTTTTTGTATGTAGGTAATTGTAGTAGTTTTATCTAATAATATGCACTTAGGAATATAAAGTTAGTTCGTTACCCCTATGACTAAGACTGTGTATATGTATTCTTGTATATTTTAATTTAAATAGATAGGGCTAAATGGTTTTAGGTAGTGTGTAAACTGCGTATCTCAAACTGTAGGGCATAGTACATGTCTTTGGGAGAGTAGTGTAATGTTTATCATATTTATGTGATGTGCCAAATTTAAAATAAATTTCTATTATATTTTGTACCAATAGAACGTAATGAAAAACTAACAGTAAGCAAAATATTATAAAAACACTGTCTAAATTAAATTGGTAATAAAACGTAACAATCAACAGATTTTTTATTTGTACTAATATCGATCTATAGCACACTGTCTTAAGATTGCTTCAATTATTTATTTGATCACATTTTCATTATGTTGTATTGATACAGACTGTAGAAATAAAAATACTACTTTTATTATATAAACAATTATATCTGTAGTCCGTTTTCGCATGTACAACCCCCTATCCCCCATGCTATGTATTTAAACTCACAATGTATTTATATTTTTGGTAGTGTTTTTAAATTATCCTTAAAACTATAAAGATTTTATTACTTAACTGAATTTTTTTCAAACTGGATACACTTGTATAAATTTTATATAATAATTATATCTATATAGTTATGAATAAAATTGTTAATTGATTTAAATTACTGTTGCAGATCTAACGCCCCTTGAGGGAAACCAGCAATGGTGGACTACTACAGGGTACTAGGCGTCACTCGATCTGCCACGGAGGCAGAAATAAAAAAAGCGTGAGTTGTTTGAATTATATTTTAATAATACATACAGATATTGCACGATAGTAACTAGTCTACGCGAGTACTTCTGCCGCAGACTGACAAGCAACTAGTAGTACGAGCAGTTGTGCTTATATGACTGTGTTTCGGTTTGATGGTAGGTTTATAGCAGTACGAAGGCATGATACCTTGGTGCTCAGAAATGGGATCACCTGAGCGTCATAGTAAATCCTATAATATCCATAGCTTTTTATGTTTATAAGCAACTGTTATTTACCACATTCCATCAGGTGGGCTGTCAGAGCGTTTGCTATTCCAAGTTTTAAGTGATTTTGTATTTTCACGCTTAGTAGTTATGCTGCTGCTCTAGTAGTATCTATATACGTTCGCTTTTTTATAACATCTAATACAACAAAGATGCGTGTCCAATGTAAATTATGTACAATAAAGTTTTTACAAACAAATAAACAAAAGTAGCCGACTATCTGAAGCATTTTTACTGCAAAATTGCTGTACAGGTAAATCTAGTTTGAAGGCTCGCTTAGACGGGGTATATTTATTTTCTTTGTTCATTTATTTAACCAAGAATATTCAATTTTATCATATGGGACAAAACAGTACGTTGAGGTATTCTCCCTCGAATTAAGAAGGTACATTTTAATACGATACATATCTTAGTGTCAGTCTACGATGTCTTAAACTAAAGTATTCTATATAAATTACAACATCCACTGATCAATCGTGTAATCAGATCGTTCAGATAGTGGTTACGAATGCTACAATTTGAACTAAAATCAGTGAGCCTTGTAGAACTATCTATACAAACTAACTATCCAGCAAACAAATATTTGACGTTGTTGCAAGCGAGTATCGAGGCGGCAAGCTCATGGTAGACACACTCAACACATAGTAAGTAGGTATAATATCTACATAGAGTTACTGGTGGGCGAACTGTTTATTGCTCGTTTTGAAAATATAAAATGGTGTGTGTTGTAAGTATTGGTAACCTTCAGCACCGTACCTTAATAGTAATAAAAGTCTCATTATAGAAATGTATGATTTATCCATACATTCAGAGTTCGTCACTGCTTCGTTATTTTTATCCGTTTGTTTTACATTGTAATGCAATGCTGTATCATTCAAAATAAAGAGATGAATATCCGTTATAATTTGTCCATCAATTTGGTATATAGGTTGTAACAGAAAGGTCTTTTTATTTATGTTATCATAACGAACGAACTCAACCTGTGCTTACGCTCGGTTTACGCTGGCGGGGTGCCAGTGAGGGATGATAGGTAAAGATAGGTAAGTATAACAAACGGAAACTTAATAGCAGAGGTATTCGTAAATTTTCGCATTTTTTTTTTTATTATTATAATAGAAGAGAGATTATACCCCTTTCTCACAAATGCATTTGGCCATGTATGCATTTAGACCACTGGCATACGCCGGATATCTAAATTACAACTTGCCATATTATCTAATTTGTCTTGTAGTTTTATTACCTATGTGACAAGCGGTAACTGTTTTAACTTGATATTCTTCTTGCAAGATTTGTTTTGTTAATTAGTATTTATTTTATTTGAAATAGGTATTTATAATTTTTATTCATGTTATTACATTCATAATATTCAAATGGAAATATAATTTCTTTTTCAGGTATAGGAAATTAGCTTTGAAATGGCATCCGGACAAGAACCCAGATAATGCAGACGAAGCCAATAGGAGGTTTAAAGAAATATCAGAAGCATACGAAGTACTTTCAGATGGTATGTTTGCATTAAAAATAATATTATAATTGACTAGCACATTTATCGTTAATATTAATAAATACTCAGCATAAAAGTAATTATGCTTGAAAATTTTGAAAATACTGTTTACATAGTGCACACAACGTATATACAATTTGCTTGCACAATTGTGTATTTTATTTTGATAAAATGATATGCATATAATATAAAAAATATACGCTTTGAGAATGGAAAGAAAAAGTATAAAAAGTATTATTGTTTCTACTCTGTTCAAAACGGTTTCTTAATTGGACATTTAAAATTCATAATTTGATTGCAATATATTAGGCAATCTACTTGGATTAGTAGCAGTTTTAATATTTAGTTAATATGTTTTTTTTTACTGAGTAATTTTAAATGCAATGAAGCTATTTTTAATATCTAAACGTAGCTTTCGTACGTAACGTAACTTAGTTAACCTAATAAACTTACTACCTAAAATTGGCATTTATTTAATGAGGTACTAGCTATAATAGATTAAGTACCAAATAGTTATTAAGCGTATGGAGAAATTATTCGAGCTTTTAAGGCACCAAAAAAAAACTTATTTACATTTAATATATTAGTAAGTCTTAATTTACGTAGTTTCTCAATAAATTTTTAACACAAAATTTCAGTAATAGATTAACAACAATTTTAACGCATGCACCAAATTTTAGTACGCTATCTAACTATTTTTTTAAATTTCATTCAGAATTAATGTAAAATAGTTGAATTTCGACACAGTCAGTTGCGCTGCCTATTGCAATATTCGACGTATTAGAAAAAGTTAAACTGTGATGTTGTAAAAAAGGTAAATACATCGCGCAGCTTGACTTTGGGGCAGGTATACAATTAAGAGAATAGAATTAAGTATGTACTGTCACTGATACTATACAGATTTAGTAAAATAATATATACTACTTCAATAATAACAAACAATAGGTAATATCCAAATAATATCGATAGATGTTATCTATATATATTATATTTTTATATTTAGGACGTCATTAAAAATTATAGATTATTGTATATAAATGTGTGTAAATATGTATGTATTTTATGTACATGAATATATTATTCTGTTTCATTATTATTTTCTCTGGAGAAAACTAAAAAAGACGTATACAATCGATCAAGTTTCCGGTTGTGATTATAATAAAGGAGCCATTCGCGATTAGATTTTATGCATTGGATTATGTATTAGTACACATTCCAAATATATTTGGCAAATTTTCCATATCCATGTCAATTGTTTTATTAATGTAGGCAATGCTAATTTACAGTTAAATCAAGTACCTATTTGTCATTTAGTCGTCTTTAACGTCAGTCGTAAGGTGACTCATTTCAATTCTTATTCATAAGAAATTTAGTTTCTTAGGTTGTCGTTGACTTAATCATTATACGAGGTTTGTCCGGAAAGTACGTATAAAAGTTTTTTAAAAATTTTATTTTACAATTATTCAGGTAAATCAATTTTATCCCCTTCAAAGTACTCCCCCTGTGACATAATGCACTTGTGCCAACGCCGTTTCCACTGTGAGAAGGCTCCTTGAAAGTCCTCTGGTTGTAGGTTTCTCAGCTGCCCCGTCGTAGCTTTTTTTATCTCATTTATGTCCCCCAAATGCCGCCCCCGAAGTACCAATTTGGTTTTTGGGAACAAGAAGAAGTCACACGGGGCCAAATCCGGCGAATAGGGGGGGTGTTCGGTCACCGTAATGGAATTTTTACTCAAAAACTCACGGAACGATCTTGGCGCAAATTTTTTTCATTTGAAGTTCGTTTCTTAGAATTTCGTGGACCACGGTTTTGCCCAAATTAAGCTCTTCAGCCACCTGTCTGACCGTTAAACGACGGTCCCCATTAACACAAGTTCGAATTCTTTCAACGTTTTCGTCGGAATGTGAAGTGGAAGGACGTCCTGAACGTGGGTCATCTTGAACGCTTTCTCGGCCCTCTCTGAATCTTTTTAGCCACTTGTGGACGGTTGGTTCCTTCACAGCATCATCCCCATAAACTGTTCTGAGATCGGCAAAAATTTCACGGCCATTCTTGCCGAGTTTCGAGAGAAACTTGATTACGACGCGCTGCTCTTCAACGGAAGCGGGCTCCATGCCGACGGGGTTTCGTTAAGAGGTAACTTCACAGATGGCGTGACAAGCCAGTTCGCACCGCACGGCGGTCAGACCAGAACTGAAGCATTGTTAGGGACATAAGGAAGGGGTCCTGCGCTTACCTGGCCTCCCCACTCCTCTTTCTCGCATTCCAGAACACTTTTATACGAACTTTCCGGACAGACCTCGTATAGTATAAAGCAAAGTTGTCCTTTGCGTCTGTCTGTTTTTCCGCTTCCTTCTAAAGCACGCAACAAATTTTGTTACTGGTTTTATTTTGTCATTTAGATATTTTTACGGAAGGTTTGTTTATACTATACATACTAATTAAATTTTGATAGATTTAAGTAGATAAATACTTTGTCACGAAAAATTTATTTTCATGGTTTACACTGTGAAATTTTAAAAGATACATTAAAACAATAAATCGCACGAAGCCGGGGCGAGTTGCTAATATAATATATTAAATTATAAGCGCTTATTTTTAATAAAAAAGTATGAACATTTTAATAGGTGCAATAAGCATCATATCCACATTCATAGTGTATTAAAATTCTAATCCCAATCTCTGTAGCAGCAGTGGTTCCTAACCCTTTCTGGACCATCGCCAAATGACGATGTCCCGCACTGTCCATACCATAATAGTTAGTATCAAATATAAAAATATAACTTCCCCAATTTGCGTCTGGATCTGCTACCGTCTACATGGAAGGCTCCATCGTCCATTAGGAGGACGTACAGCCTCCGTTGAGAATCTATATTCTACATACAGTGATTTTTAATCATAAAAATGTAAAATGTCATTTTATTGTTGGGTAGAGAGCAAGCGGAAAATGTATGACGCACGGGGATCCGGCCATCACGGTCACAGATATCAGAGCAAGAATGGAGTCAATGGCCATCGACACTTTAGCTTCAAAGGGTTTTTTGGAGACACGCCATTCCATCGTTTGTTTGGTAGTTGTCCACAAATAATATAAGCTATGAATATTATCATGCGGATGTCATGTAAACCAATAATAGTTATCATTTAACTTAAAAGTAGTGATGTTTGCCATAAATTTTCTTTACCTCCATTAAAGGTTACGTTTATCATTTTACAATTATAAGTCTCCATCAGTTAGTATATATCAGAGATTGACAAAACAGCATCTTGTTAGCAGATATTTATATAAAGATTCTTGTTTCATGTTTTACTGGTGCTAATTTTATTTCATCGGTTAATGTCGACCAAGTGTGATAATATTCATAATGAACTGGCAAATTTTATATTTGCGTTTAACTTTATTACTAACAACATGAGTTTTGTGTGGATGACTTGACCATTAGCTATTTAGCCTACAATTCTATTATCGCTATAGCCTTTATGTAATACAAGTTGTGCAGTATTGATATTATTCGCTTTAGCTAACAGAGTTATGCAATAAGCCTGGGGAAGCTAGTAATTAAATTACTTTGTAGCTGATTCTTAAAGAAACATACTACTGATATTTTAAATATACATATGTTCTAAATAACAACCATGAGCAATTTTAAATCGCACCATCTGCGCGATTGGTTGAGTCAATTGTTTTGATTATAAGAATCGTCCGAGTCGTAGTCATTTAATTGATAACGTAAGTATACAATATTTAGAGCACTAAATTGTTAAAATATACTACATCTGTGGAAATATATTGACATTAATTTGTTCATGTTATCGAATATATTACATGTAAGGGTTGCAATCCCATTTCAATCCAACAATAAGTATGGATAGTAATTTTATTAAATGTAAATATTTCTTTATTCGAAAAACTATGGTTTAAGTTTGTAATTTTCAAAATAAAAAGTTGATGTCGTGTACTACGTTATACTCGTAGTAAAATAGAGAAGTAGGTTATCTCTGGCCTCTTAGCCTACTCTGGCTTTGGTGATCAAGGCTGCCACTATCTAGTCTCGTTAACAAAATTTAAAGTGCGAATAACAGCTAACGTTTTGGCAGTTTAGGGTTTCATACCTAAATGGTATTAAAATAAAATACATTTGTACATAAAGCCATGTTATCTCGTAAGAATCTTTATATTTAAATAAATGTTCATCTAATGAAAACAAAAACTTATTTATACTTTTTTTTTTGTACGGAACCTTCGGCGTGTGGGATCACATTTTATTTATCTGGTTGTATTTCTATTTCGTTCTAAAAATAACCTACGCCAAGCTATGATGCGAATAGTATTTTAATTTATCCAAAAACGTGTGTTTAACATGTACTTACTATTAAATAAAAAAATATTTTTCTTTTAAAATGTAAAATACATTAAAAGAAATTATTTCCAGCTATTTTTAGCTTGCTAGATACATTTACCTATTAGTTTTTACCCGTGACTTCGTTCGTGTTATGTATGTTAATTGATATAGATTAGAAATAGCCTGTCCTTTATTCTAAATGCTACGTATGTACCAAATTTCGTGACAATTGGTTGAGCCGTTTACGTATTAAGAGGTAATAGACAAACTCACTTGATAGTTGCAATATTAGAAAGGATTTTTGATCATAAATAACCCAAGAAAAGTCGAAAACAGATGTTGTGCCTTGTATATTAATAATCTCGGATCAGTATTTTACGATAAATACAAAAATGCCTTAATTTTTTTTATTGTTAAGTATTAATACTCAACAATAATGACGGTATGCTTAGCCAAATAACAGAATTAAGACTTATATTTTTTTCTAACAGGTTTAAAAACCATTTAAAAATGCACATATTGCAGTAATGTTTGTATTTATTTTATAAACTGTCAATATCTAATCAAGTTTTATATTCTTGGAGCTTTCTTGGTTATAATAAACATAAGTTGTATGCCCGTTCCGTGTCACATAAATAATAAATTATTTAAATAGTTATTACGTATATATATTTTTCATAAATCAATAGAGGACTATTATAAACCCTGTTCGGGCACAGAAATAAGAAAGCAATAAATAATATCTCAGGAAATATTGAGGGTAACACGGGATGTAGTGTAGTAGTGGTGCGTCAAACTATGATAAATCAAAAAGAGCTGTAAATATAAAACCATTTATAAAAACAACTATAATATTAAACACTAAAATTATTATTATATATTAATTATTAGGAAATATTTTGATTTTATGGGTAATTATTATTATTAGTGTTACAATAGCATTCTAAGCATTCCCAAAGAGGGTTGTCGTCAGGCAGGCTGCTGGTCATAAAACTAAAAGCCTTTTTGTAATATGGATAAAACCATATTACGCCGGCCCCAAATAATAATTGGGATAAGGGTAGGAAGATGAAGATGATGATTAGCATTCTAAGAGCATTCATAACTTTAGCTTGATGAAGGGTGGCAATGTCGCAATTATCTGCCAATTTTCAAAATTAATTGATGAATTTTCAATATTATTGACTGATTATTTAAAAAGTCCTCGGCCTACGAACTAAAACCTTACTAAGAATAAAAAAGTATTTGAAATATTCCAAAATAAAATATGAAGTAGGTGTAAAGTTTTTAGTGCTGGATTTATATGCAACGTATTCTATGATTAACGTTTTAGTTTGTAGGTAGAGCACTTTTAAAATAATCAACAAGAAGATTGATAATTCTTTGTTCTTTGAAAGACAGACAGAAAATTGTTGTTCCTATAGTTCGTTATGATTGCTCTTAAGTTTGAAATAAATGTTATTTATCTGAAACTAATCCCTTCCATTAGGAATGTGTTGAATTGTTACTATCTTAAGTACTTATATTATTTTAATTTTATTTTGTTTTGTTGTCTATGTGCATGGTTTGAGTCAATATTTTTTTGTTTCTCCATTTCATTTCAAGAAAGCCTATTATTTAGACGATTGGTCATTAAGAGCATTAGAACCTTATCGAAGTGGAAGTTTTGATAATAATTTACTAATTTACAATATTTTAATTCATTCAAAAAGTGCTCTTTTAGTGAACAAAAATTATGCAGCAAAATACCTATAAAGCTGCCACTAAATACTTGCATTTTAATAGTAAAAAAGTATATGAAACCTTTAGATGTAAAATATGAAGCATGTCCAAAACTTTTAGTAATATATTTTTATCTGCAACTTATTTGTAATTAAAGTTTTAGTTCGCTACAAGAGCACTTTTTAAATATTCATTGAAAAATTTTAAATAGTTTTAATTCAAATCCTCTTTATTTAATATCAAAGGAGCCAATCATTCTCTTATTATAATTTGTACATATACAATGAGTTAGTTTTTAGTAATAAACATTGTTTGATTATTGTGTTTTTTGGATAAAATTTTGGTCACGGTATAGCAAAATTTGAAATTATGTAATTTAATTAATTATTTGTCGTCACTAAAGTTGTTATTCTTATATTCTATTCCGCAGAAAGGAAGCGACGAGTATATGATCAATACGGCAAGGAAGGGCTGAACAATGGCCGCGGCCGGCGTTCTGGCGTCGACGATGACTACGACTTCGGCTATGGCAGTTTCCCGTTCACATTCCGAGACCCCGAGGAGGTGTTTAGAGAATTCTTTAGTGGATCTTCATTTGGCGATTTGTTTGCTGGTTGGTATAATTTTTTTTATTTTTTAAATCACCTTATTCTTTTATTCAATTTGGCTGTTTCTTTAACCGTTTTAGTGCCATTGATTTTAACTCATACCTACTTAAAAATGCCAAAGAAATCTTTGTCGTATTGATATTATTTACCCTTGTCTCTAAAAAAACTGTATTTCCTTCAAAAATTATCCAACTTTAATAATTTTTCTACAACGAGCTAAACAGCAGCTGATTTCACGAGCGCTATGGCGCTCGTCGGCATAAATGACGGGATTTAACCTACTTCTGTCGTCGCTAATGATTTTGAAATTATAATACATACACAGAATAGAATAGGGCCCATTCTATATTTACGTAAGAACGATCACAACGACAATCTTTGAGGCGTTACACTCGTATTTTTGGCTCACAGTTTTATAATAATAATAGACTAACCACTGAACATAGTATATCTCCATATAGTACGAAACTTTTTAAAAATTTATCACTGGGAGTTTAACTATGAGGGTGAAGAAACGTACAAAAATTGTGTTTAAAAATACACAAAGGTAATTGTGTATTGTTTTTATTATTATTTAGCTTACTATTATCTATTAATATTGTATAATACAAATTTATTTTTAAATTTGGCCAATATCAAAAAAGTTATTTTTTTTTCTCTCATAGATTTTGCTTGTACGAGACATGTGACGTACAAGGTTTATTATGATTTGAAGTCCTTGATAACCGTGAAAATAATACTGATGTCTGTATTGGCGGGGATCGATCGTCGAATTCGATACGACATATTTCGAATTATAACGTATAAATGTATTGTTTACACTTCAGAAATCAACGGTCATGGGCATCATCATAGACATGGACGTCGCAGTCATCCCAGCACCTCGCTCACTTCGTCCCTTTTCAGTCCATTTGGATTCGGCATGCAAGGACTGGACGACATATTTGCTCACGCTGCACCAAACGGCAACACTTTCACTTCATTCTCGACGTTCAATAGCTCACTGGCGGGACCTGGGAGCGCCAATATGAGGAGTACCACAACAACCACGCGCATAGTCAACGGGAAAAAGATTACCACCAAAAAGTAAGCAAAGAAAAAAAAAAAGCAAATATTTTCACCATTATATTCCCTAACAGGGTAGCCACAGGCATTTGTTAACTGCTGTCGTGGTGAAGATTACTGTCAATTAATTTGGTTTGTCAATGGTGTATCCTATCATCGGACAGTGGGAATTTTAACACGTTCACGCTGGGGCCGACTTTAATGTTTGTTGCTGCGAGGCGGCTCTCTAATTGATACTAATAGCACAATCGAATACGTACCACCAGTGGTACGCGCCGCCAGAAAAGACAGTTTAGTGCGGGCCACCGGTGATACGCGCCGCCAGATAAGAGAATTTAGTGCGTACCGCCGGTGGTACGCGCCGTCCAATGAGACAGTCTAGCGCAGGCCACCGGTGGCCCGCGCCGGCGTGAACGTGTTAAATTGACATACAGTTTATGCTCTAGATTCCAAATCACGACCTTAGCGGCGGTAGTATACCACTGTACCACGAGGTTCTCAAGAAAACTTTATATGATTAATACATAACATGCATATTGAAAGGGCTTTTAGCATAATTATTATCATATGTACCTATATTAACATTGATTAATATTATATTGATAGTTACAAGTTCAAATATCAGCACTCTTAAGTACTTGAATAAAAAAATATATTAAGAATGTTAATTATTCTTATTAAATATTGAAAATTTTGAAACAAATCATCAATGAAAATTTTACTACATTTAGAAATCTTAAAATGTTATACTTCACAGTTGTCCAGACCCAAATGATTCTAGTTCAATCAATTAGTAGTAACGACTTTTGTATTAAGAAATCTATATGGGGTTCGTAACATTTGTACATATGTTTAACGATAATTTCTTTTTCAGGGTAACAGAGAACGGTCGCGAAACTGTGATGTCTTACGAAAACGGGGTCCTCAAATCTAAGACTGTCAATGGTGTACCTCAATCATTAACTTACAGTTAAACACGAGTAACGTTCTACAATATAACCAAACTTTGATCCAAATGTCAACTCAGTATATGTGAGTTAAGTTCCAACTTTAATACACTTAACGTAATTTAATTTTGCTTAATTTAAATATTCAGTGTGATGAAACAAATTGTAAATTGATAGAGTGGAAATATGTTAATCTTACTTAATTTTAATAATAGTAGAATTATTGCTTCTTTTATTAAAATGGTATATTAGTGAGATTTTACAGTAGATTAATCTGCTCAATTGTAAATCTCGCTCCGAAGACTTGTGTTCTATTTAGGTATCGCAGCACGCGCGCTTTTGATCTCGAACTCTGCGAATGAGTTGTGTGTGAAAAGTAAACATTAACCTTTCCTAATACGTGCTGCGTTAATTATGTTATTTTGCTGCCAACTTTACTCTTTTTTTAGTATAATAGTTTTTACATAGTCATAATTGTAATCACGTTTTAATTTAATACTAGTATGTTGGAACAACTAGATTATAATAAAAAATACTTTTAGGAAAATTTACCGGTGAAAATTTTACGTTGTTGGACTTCATGATGACATTACATTTTCAAATTTACTGTAGTTATGTTTTAATTTAGCCATTATATTCGTTGCGTTGATTGTAAGCTTTAATAAGTTGGCAAATTAACTGCTACATTAAAAGGTAAATGCTATTTTTTGTATGTCATCGATGGCATTTCTAACTTATTGGCCTTAAATTTTAATGCAATAACAGTCGATAGTTAGTCCACATACGCTTTACATAGTTTATAATAAAAAAGGTTCACCAACAATTCAGGGAAAAAAAAACTTGAAAAACGGTATTTTTAGGCTGATAAAAGCTCATCTTTAAATTTGGACGTCGTTGATTGTGGCCATGAATTTTGCAAGAGTTCATCCAAGGTCATTCAAACTTTAAGTGGCGCCATGGGCAAACCCAACGAAGATTTCGTGTGGCTGGTTACGTGCCTGTGGAAATGAAATCATTCCTCACTTTCCCTTCTGGCTCATTTCGTACCAAAAGTTCATATAATGAACATTTTATATTTCCAGGTTATGAAATGATCCAGTAGTAAAGAAATAGTCCACAACAATATTGCTTTGTCAGATTTCGTGAGAGAAAAGTATTAGTCAAGTATCATATTATTATTCTTGTAGTCCACGATATAATGTGTAATAATGAATAAAGTAGCAAGAATATTAATTTAAAATTGTATATTATGTTTATTATACAATAAATATAAAAAAAATTGCGAAAAAAATATTACTATTAAAATAATTATACAGTTTGTCAAAATTTTATGATCTGACTAAACTTTTGTCTCAAGCTAATTTGATGTTGATTTTTTATTTTTCGTGTTACATACGTTTTGAAATGTGAAGCAATCTGATACCGTATGTACTTAAATGTTTGTTTTGGAAAAGTTCATCGATATGTTTGGCAAATTTCAAGAAAAGTATTTTAGTTCGTTGTAGACATCTCATTCATAGTGCCATTGCGTTATACCTTGTGTTTAAAGCGAGAGCATAGCACTTATTTTGTAAATATCTGGTTTCCTATGAGATCTCGTTTCTTATTAAATTTTGTCAACTCCCGAGCACTGCAAGAATGAATAAATGAAAATTAATTGTACGTACATATTTTTTATTTTCAATCCATATTCCTCACACTATCTTGATACCTGTATAATTTAATAAATAAAAGTAACTTCGAAATGAAATGACGAGAAATGTTGAGAATTATCCGTTTAAATTGAGTAATTAATAGCAATGATCCAAAATGGTTAGACCTAATCAGCTGTAATTTAATATCCATCTTCCGTTTGCAAGACTGGTGGTCATTGTTTTATGAAATGAGTTTATCTGTCCGGCTATTTTTACAGAAACGTGTTATTACAGAAGCATTAGGAGAAATATAATACTTGCAAAAGTATTATATATTATTATTATTTAGTTAATATATAAGTATATTAAAAAATTTAGAACAGCCTTACCTCTGCATTGTATGTTTATAGACAATTTATTAATCTTTATAATCATAGTGGTAGGTAATAAGAAACCTACCTAATATAAATTATAAATGAAGAGGGGGAAAAGTAGGTAGATAATAATTTTACTTTCAAATTGATTTCAATTTCAAATATAATTATTATTTTTACATTATTTATATATAATTAAAATATTTTATATAATTAAACTATACAAAAGTAATTTTAGAAAGTAATTGCGTAAATTACAGCGCGACTCCGGTACATAGACGCGATGGCTTCATCATCGGGATACTCATATCTTTTCTCATCATTCGGAACATACGCAAATCCATCGAAATGTGTAAATTCTCGAGCTATAATGTCTTCTAAATGATACAGGCGTGTTGGACGTTGTACATCCTTAAGGTTTTCTGAAATATAGGCATGAAAGTGTTCATTAACAAAGAAAGTTAATTATTTATATAGGACCATTATTGGTTACTTTATGCATATCAAGGGAAGGAATGGAAGAAGAATGGATAAAATTAACTGGAGAGATCGAATTAGTAATGAGGAGCTCCTGCTTAGGATTAAGGAAAAGAGTCAGAAAAGAAAAAATGTTAGTATACTAGATACGATACGACAAACTTATGAACATTATAATAGAAGGAAGGAGGGGTAGAGGGAGACCAAAGTATACACATAGGCAGATCAACGAAAAGGTTGGTGTCGTGTCGTATCAAGAGACTCGCAGAAAATTGTAGCGAGTAGCAAGAGCTCGACCGACAAGAGCGCAGCTCTTAAATAAGATATATATATATATATAGATGCATATCAATATATTTTAACTGTACTGTCTAGTTTAGCAAGTATTTTCAGTCAATACTTAGTAATAAATTTGATTGTGCATAGTTAAAAGTATTCTAAAAATAAAACTTATTGGTGATTTGAATGTGACTACTTGTTAGAAGAAACTTATCATTTTAGTTCATAGGAATAGCAGCGTACAATAGCGGAATAGCGTACATTTGACGTTCCTATAGAACTCGATATCCTAATTAAAATTATATTTATTACATTTTTATATTTTTAAATAAAAATAAATGTTGGATCCAAATTTGTTTCCTTAGGTTCTAGCCTACTTAGCTTGCCAGTAAATCCGCTACTGACAGCGTATGAGGAGTGGTATTAGCATCACAGGTAATGTCCATAGTGCTGTTCGTGTCTGTAAATGCCGATTACCATTTTCTAGCAAGTGGATCGTCGGCTTGTTTGCTGTGTACACTAAAAGGAGAAGACTAATTATTGAATTATTTTTAAGGTAAGTCTTTGTTTCTCATTTTCTTAAATTATTATATTGTAGGTTATTGGATTTAAAATAAAATAACTTTACCTTGTGCTACGTATCTTATAGACTGATCCACAGCTACAACATAGTAGAAAGGTTGGTCCATACCAAAATTCAAATTAGTCTCCATTCCCATTCGATTCAACCATTCGGCTCGGCAACATGGGTCCCACCCACGAACTATACACACATAGTTCAGTTTTAAATGGTAGCAAACCATACCGATAGCATATTGAACTCGGCTATCATGTCGTTTTACGACAATCTAAAATGTAATAAAGCTAAGTATATAATACTGTTTTGAGATATTAAATCGATTTTGAGGTGCCGTTTCTTTAAATCTATCTTTTATCCCAATATTTTTAAATTGATAGTTACGCAAAATTACTGTTTTATGGACATTCATAAACTAAATTTATGACAATTTTGTGTTAAATTTATTAGAAATTTAATTCTTATTGGTCTTTAATAAAATAAATAAAGGTTTCGCCTTGACAAAAATTGAAATTTTAGAGATAGGTTTAAAGAAACGAACGCTCAAAATCGACTCCATTATCCTTTATCCGCGCAACCGATTATAATCAAATTTTGTAAATGTATATGATTTGCTTCAACTTGAGAGAGAGGACATTATCATGACAAAAAAAACCCTAAAAATGGACCCAAAAATGAATATATGGGGTAAAATATTTATCAGGTCAGCTAGAACTATAATAAAATCGTATTATTTTTTCGGTCTGTATTTGTTGTTAGTCGTAGATTGACTATACAGCTTCATCGGGTGCACCGCGTGCAGGGGCGAGTGCAGATGACACAACAAGCTCGCGAGAGGGGAACGATGAAGTGTCGACTCTTACCGATGGATTAAGGCGCACGTCCAAAGGCGCTAGAGTGGCCTCGGTTTAAGCCGCCACTTTGCCTCCCGTTAAGGGTACGAGGGTCTATTAAGCTCGAGGAGGGAAGTGTGGGCGAGTTGTGTTCAGGTGTGCACCTGATTATTCGCGAACGCTGTGATGGGGGTGTTCGTCCCCGCCGGCGATAGTGAAGTAATTGGATCATCGAGGTCCAAGACTCAGACAACGATGTCGGGGAGTATAAAGTCTTTAAGGGTCGAAATTGGTTTGTCTTTGTTTTTATGAATTAATTTGAAGTATGGTATAGGATGTTAACCTCTTAACTGCTTGGTTTCAGAAGTTGCCTTAACGTCCGATTCAAATCGGAAATTTTATATTGTACTTGGTTTTAATATTACTATCATTTTGAAATATTACTTTTATCCTATACTCTATCTCTATTATTATTATATTTATAAAGTAGGCAGTTAAATAGAAATAAACATGTTCTCTGTCGGATAAGTCTGACAGTTTATAGTAACATGAGAGATATGCATACATTAAAATCAAATTTATATTACTCACTTCTTTAAGGCTTGGCTCAGTAGAAATACTTCTAGAGGCCAACAACATTAGCAATTGCAGATGAACATCACTCATCTGTGGAAAGGAATATAACGCAAATTATTATGTATATAATAAACTAGTTAATCTCAATAAGTTGTTATTTATGTTACAAAGTTTTATATTTACGTACATATTTAATGTTCAGGGGTGTATTAATGTCAAGGTCACGCATATTATCAAAAAGGAATATGAAAAAACTCCTGTATGCATTTTGTTCCATTTGATTGATACCTAGCAGATCAAGGAGCAGTAAAGCATTTTGAGTGTTCCTGAAATAAAAATACAATATAAGTGTACATAGATAATGCAGTGATTACGAATTTTTAACCTTATTTAAAACATAGTTGGTAAGAAAAAAGTTTGCATGGAAAATAGATTATGTCGAATATAGAGATGAAACGGATAGCAGTTTTGCCGGTTACTGGATACCGAATATTCGGCTAACCATGTGGCCGAATAGTCGGATATCCGGCTATGTCAGTGCGAATTGATCGCAATCATGACCCTTATTCTTAGTAAGCAACAAATGCCAAACAATACCCAAATTAACAAAGTTTGCCAAAATCTATTTTTCAGCATCTTGCAGCAGTGTGTACAGTGAAAGACTTTTCTGAAGCTGGCCTTATTTATGAAGAGAAGCGAAACCGCTTGTTACCTCTCAATGCAGAGAAATTAGTATTTATTCACCATAATTTGCCCTTAGTGCAGTATGAGTACTAATTCTTTTTTTTTTCCTATTACATTCATTTACTATTGTGTGATTAAAAATTTAAAATTAAAACATTCTATTGTATAAGTGATAGTAAGACTAACTAAATAAAGCAAATAATTACTTCAAAATATACTTTTTTATCCAGATTATTTTTTAATTCGGCGGGATGCCTATCCGGCCGGTTAGTATTAAGACCGCCGGATAGACCGGATACCGAATAGTTACCGGATATCCGTTTCATCTCTAGTCGAATACACAGAGAATACTCGTTGATATTAATGATCTCCGTGGCGTAGTGGTGGGTCCATTTTGTAAATGAGGTCCCGGATTCGATTCCCAGTCCGGCCAATTAAAGAGTTTTTTTTAAATTGGCTCAGGTTCACGAGAACTACTGGGCTAAGTATCGCGTCATAGCTGCGACATCTACTCAAGTGCACGTTTATATGTATTAATAATTCGTTTAAGTGTTTACATACCAATCTTCAATAGATCCCATACTCATTCGAAAAGAAGAATAAATCGATTGAAGTAGCGCATCTGGATGATATTCGTAACGATTACTATGGTTGTTTTGTGAAAAAGGGCAGCGCCTTTTTGGTTTCAATTCTCCATTATTAAGATCGATGGTGTAAGCTGGAGCATTTGGATCGTCCCAATTGGGCCGCCACTCGAGAAACAAATGATTCGGGAACGCTACTAGTTCACATTTCACATTACATTTTCTAGCAACTGCATGGTAAATAGCCCCAACAACAATGGCGTTTCCGATTTTGTTTTCTAATACCTAAAATTAAAGAAACCATTTATTAAATCTTTTTAATGTGTTCGATGTAAAGTATGTACAATAAAGATTTTAGAATACAATACAAACATTATTGTTTATTGATAAAAATATTTTATATTATCTTTTTTCTTTGCTGTTGATTACTTTCTTTTTAACCATAAATAGTGAAAAAAACTGAAGGATCTGCTTTTGACTTCCTATGTATAAAAATTTACAAAACAGAGCTTACCGAATAGGACGTAATTTAATATTTATATGCAGATAAAATATGTATGTTGTATTAATTTTACTACTATCAAAATAAGCAAATAAAATTATTTGTAACCTTAATTATGTCAAGAGTTTGCAAATTTGCAGTTGTAGTCACAGCCATATGTCTTTGTCGATAAATTACTTGAGTGATAGCGTCCAGCACTTTTTCTTGTGATATCAGTCCTTTAGCACACCTTTCTTGAATTGTCATGAATGGGCCTTTCGATGAATCTTTATTTTCCAATAGGCTTTCTACTTTATTCACTAGTACTTGTAGCTAAAAGAGTATGATATTATACACTAATTGACGATCATGATAGTCTGGCAACAATTACATCATTTTATCTTATGATCGTGAGTTCGATCCCCATAGAATATAAACCTTTGTATTCACGAAAGAATTAAAAATTCAATACAAGTCAGTAATATACTTGAATTGCAATACAATATCCATTCGCAGTAGTTAAAACTAGTGATGACTAGCGTTTGTGATAAACTGCGTATGCGACGAATTGAGATATTGACGAAATGCATCTGTGACAAACTACGTGTAGTGACTAAATTACGTACTGCGTGTAGTGGCTAAATTGCGTACATGATCAAATGCGTTCGTGACATGGGGTCTTTAATCCGTCAGGTACATGGCTCTTTTTGGAAACCATCTGTTGGTTAATTCCTGTTTAATTCATTATGATGATGGGTCAACTGACATCACCTATCATGCCTCTCTAGTGCCCCACCAGAGTAAATAATTAGGCGCAAACGAGTTTCAATTTTATACATTTTCATATGTAAAGAAAATAGTGACGAAAAGGAAAATACCTTCTATTATTATAATAAAGATGTTATAATTTATACATACTTTATTATTGACATTTTCATCTAAGTGTAAATTTTCATGATCTATCCATTGCAAAAAGAAGTTCACCACAATTTCAGGAGGCAGCTCTCTGCGCAAATGTGACTTTGCCAATTTTATTGCTAGGTAACCGTGAATCAAATGACGAAGAATAACTTTTGCATAATGCATTTCTGTCAACGTAAACGGTCTGCAATCAAAAATAAATTTCATAGCCTGGTAATAATATTTATATAAATAATTAGTAGGTACTAAACAATTGACAAAATTATGTTCATAAATTGAATATGTTTATAGAAATAAATGAAAAAATCTTATTTTTTTATTTGGTGGGAAATATTGTTTTGTCCCCTACCCTAGATCCTATATTTCAAGTTGGATCAAACAATACATTATTTATAAAAAATAATTAAAATCATTTGAGCAGTTTCAGAAATCATGTCATGAACATAATGTCATGCGATATTTATTAACTTATAATGAATATTCAGTTGTTATTCATTACTTACCCTATTTGGTTATTTTTTCCTATTTGGCTGAATACCAAATACTTAAGTAATATTTTTTGTTGTAAACAAATAATTGGCGAAATGAAATTATTGATTTATATTATAAAAATATACATTTTTTATAATTATTGTGTACATAATCACATTCTATATTACAAAAATTAACAAGAAAGCTATGAAATAAATGTCTATTCACAGAAAGGCTAACATTTCTAACATTAAGGACGTATGGCATCGCAGGTTTTGAGTAGGTAAATATATTTGAATAATCAATCTAAAAACAGTCACATGGAATGACTACACAGACTGTATACTTTTGCCTTATATGCTATTTGTTGTAAATCTATTTTTTACATATTAAAGAATACCATTACTTATTAGTAATAGTATAAATTGCTTATTTATTATATGTATATCACTTCAGCAATGTAATAAAAAGTATTAATTTGTAAGCAAGATACATAACTACTTTCAATAACAATTAGGTATTTTATAAAAATACTATAAATGAAATTACTTACTTTTTGCTTACAAACGTCTCAACAGTTTTATTTCCTTTTTTTATTAAATCTTGTAATATATAAATAATATAGTATAGACTCAGGTTATTATTTGTTGCAATACTAAAAAAATGCTTGATATTTTGCAGTGTTACATCATTAGCTTGCCTGTAAGAGAAAACTATTAATTATAATTAAAATTATTATTAACAATATATACAAGTGTACATAAAACTACTTAATAACAAATTTCATACGGTAAATAAAATTAGGAAGATATATTTTATGGGATACTTACCAGTAAAATTGATGTGACATTCTAATTAACTCAGAATACACCTGCTTTTTTATTATACATATTCTTTTTAATTCTTCTAACCAATTACCATTGCAGTGTTCATTGACAACTTCAAACATGTCTGAAGAGAAACTGAAATAATTTTATTATAACTTATTATTGTGAGTTACAGAAGTTGCTTTTATTAAATTCTAATTTCCTCAATTTTTTTTTATTTTTATTGTGCCCTTGCATAGAACACAAAGTATCAACTGTCAACTATATCTTTATATATTATTCTTATTCATTCATTATTATAATTTATTTCTATGCATGGACACAGGGTAAGCCCTAACCTATATTGTGCTCCAGGTCAATATATTTGATGGCACTCCAATAGTGTAGAGAGGCCACTTTCATTGGTATTTTTGGATCAATGTATGGAAGGTGTAGACACCAGTTTCGGTCATTTATTCTTATATGGGAATCCTATTCATAAAACACACCAAGGAATTTCTTTTGATGATAATTTTTTTAAATTTTTACATCATAACTTATAAAAAAAAGAATAATTTTTGTTCCACAAAATAGATTGACTTCAATTAAGGCAAAATTAATATTTCATATTTAAAAATTAAATTATTTAATCAGTTTTGATAAAATATCTATGGGACCAATATAATGGGACAAATAAGTGATGACTAAAAATTGATGCTATTAAATGCTATGCTATTAAAGATATAACTAAGTATAACTATAAGAGCCTGCAAAAAATATTCTATACCATAATCCAGTAAAGACCCACTTCTAGCCATGGGTTTCTCAACAAATTATCAGGAATATTAATATAAAATTGACAAAATTAATACGAGACTAATATGGATGTAGATCCCCATTGTAAAATATTAAAATTAATTTACAATTCTTATTAATATTGCATAACATATACATCAAAATGAGATTTTATACAAAAGCTGTACTACATAAGCTGTGTACTTGGGCACTTTTGTCCCATTCATGTTTCTGGCATAAATCAGTTGTGTTTTGGTTTGAAGGGTGGGATATGAAATCAGGGAATAGAGGCAATTTTTTTTTAATGGATGATAATGGAATGGTAACCCCACCCGCACTATTGGTATACACCGGCAGGGCACTAGTGAAGAATTATAGGTGAGAATGAAGTAGGTCAGTTAGTCCATTGTGACGAATTCAACATGAATTGTTCACAATGGTTTCCAGGGGGAATCATATGGAGGTTGATCTAATAAGGCATATTGCTAGCAATGAGGCTGTCAAACTTCATTGCTAACAATCCCAGCGGTATAGATGCATTAGGTAAAAATGGAACAGATGAAGGGAATAATGGGTGATACAGTATATTCTATTATTATTAGTTGTGTTTGTGCACAGTTCGTGTTTATAGGCGACGGTTACCACTTTCCATCAGGTGGGTCGTCAACTTCCTTGTCATTCTAAGTTGCATAAAAAACCTTACACACAAATTATAGTTACAATTTCAGCAAAATTGTAAGAATAAGGTAGTATCATGGATTAGGTATATACATGACGGGTATTCTAGATGAAACACGATTATGCTTACGTTTTCTTGAATTCCTTTTTCCATAAAGATTGATTGCTTTTTATGGTTTCATAGAAACGTTTACAAGTCATCCCAAAAGAAACGATTTCATTACGATTATTGTATTGTAATATCAATAATATCACTTCATTTGGAATACATTCTATTGTAGGCGTAATTACATTTTCATTTTCCATTGTGTAACGAAGTAATTATTCATAAAGAGATAAAATACAGTTAGATATTTATTGAAAATTATAACCAAGATCATATACAAAACAAGTTATTATTTACTTATATCAATAACATACTTCAATGTCAATTTCTATATAAGTATGTAATAGCTAAATAAGGAAGAAGGACCTAAAAACAAAAAGTGTAAAGTCCAATATCCATAGACACCTAGCAATATTCTTTACTTTGCTTACTCAGAGTAAGTAATCACTACGTTATATTGTATTGTTCACTAAATTCTTGATTTTGACACATGACATGAGTATTTTTTTTTTTTTCTTTTTTTTGTGGCGTTCACCCCGATATTAGGGTATTTTGCCAAGAACAAAACGGGGAAACGATAATAGTAATAAAAATACCTAACACAAACGAATTTAGAAAGGATAAGGATTAGGTCTAGGATATTTATAGGATATGAAGGATATACTTGTACATATGAGAATATATTTATAAATATATAGGAAAAGCAATTGATGCAACTATAAATGTATTCATGTAATATAACTAAATCTTAATATTGTTATCATATATATATGAAGATAGTATTTTATAGATAATAGGATCATTGGAAGAAAGTAGAATAAGAATAGAAGTTGGGAATGGAACACGGATGGATCGGAGATGATTAAAAAGGGAGGTGTGGTCAAATTTAGAACATGAGAAGAATATATGATTCAAGTCCGCCACTTCAGCACCGCAATTACACGACGAACTTTGTACAATACCAAGCTTGTATAAATGAGAAGGTGTGCATACGTGACCTAGACGCATACGAGTTATAATAGTTGTTGCGGTCTTTCCAAGCTTTAATTTACAAAACCATGGTTTGAAAGGAATATCGGGTTGTATAAGACGATAAAATCTTCCTTTTATTGTACTTGTTTTTTCCCAATATTCCTTCCAGGCATACCTTAAATATATTTTTGGGAGACAAGCTAGGTCACTACAGTAATTATGATACGGATACATATCACCACAAGTTACAGCCTCTCTAGCAATAAGGTCAGCTTTGTCATTGCCGCTAATACCACTGTGTCCTGGTAACCAGGCAAAAGAAACGGAATACCCTCTCAACATGCAAAGATAAAGACTTTGTCTTATGTCACAAATAATGGGATAAACTGGTTTTGATTTAAACGGATATTTGGCTAGAGCTTGCAAAGAGCTCATAGAGTCAGTGAAAACTATTGCCTTATGTAATTTCATTAAAAGTATATATTCTACAGCTTTTAAAATACCATAGCATTCCCCGGTAAAAACTGAAGATTCCGGTGGAAGTTTAATTTTTTGAACGATATTAAATTGTGAATGAAACACACCCACACCTACACAACCGCTATTGTCTGGTTTTGATGCATCAGTAAAGATGTAGTGCCATTCATTCCATTCAATGTCAGTTATAAACATAAATTTGGCATTCAATTCTGAATCATTTTTTGATAACCCAAAATCATATTTAATATTAGGAGATAAAACTAAAGATTGATATGAGCATTTATAAATGGGAAAACAGGACGATGTAAAAGTGGGAGATTCTATGGATTTATATTTTTCATAACTTTGTATTAAACATGGAGGTTTTTTATGTTTCCAATAAGATGAAGACGAAATAAAGATATGTAGTTGAGATAACTTTTGAATAAGCGGAGGATCAGATAATTGTAAACAACGAAAAAAGAAGCGGTCAGATAGATATTGCCTTCTTAAAACCAAAGGTGGATCACCGACTTCGAGCTGTAAAGCATTGATTGGACTTGATTTCATTGCTCCAGAGATAATCCTCAAGGCCTTTGATTGAATTAAATCCAATTTCTTAAAAGCAAATGAACTTCCTGGAGCTAACAAAAAAGTTCCATAATCAATGACACTCCTTATAAGACCATTATAAGCAAGTTTTAGTGAAACGGGATGTGCTCCCCACCAAACTCCAGCAAGGCACCTAAGAATGTTGAGGTTACGCTCACATTTCGTAGAAATATAATTACAGTGGGACAGACCTGTTAATTTATTATCTAGCACGATACCTAAAAATTTAATTTCAGTCTTTATAGGAATGTATGAGTTATCATAAAGCACCTTAATTTGTTGCGGTGATCTCATTCTTGAAAACAAAACTACACTACTCTTGGTTACAGAAAGATTAAGACCATTTGCATCTAACCACGTTTTTAACAAATCTAATGAATCAGATAATTTGGCAGAAGCAGATTCTATGGACTTCGCAATAAAATATAATAAAAGATCATCAGCATATTGTAAAATTTTGACGGATTTATCAAGGAATAATTCTAGATCGTATGTGTATATGTTAAATAAGATTGGACTGAGAACAGATCCTTGTGGAAGGCCTTTCCATACTGTTCTAGATAATTTGGTATCTTCATCTAAATTCATATATATTGTTCTTTCTGATAAAATATTAATAATGAAATTAGAAAGCATTACCGGTACATTTAGAGCTTGTAATTTAGTTTTTAAAATAGAAATTATTACATTATCATAGGCAGAATTTATATCTAAAAAGGCTGAGAGGATTGACAAATTTTGTGAGAAAGCTATATGAATATCTGAAATAAGAATGCTCACATTATCTAAGGTGCTCTTACCTTTCCTAAAACCAAACTGGTTCGGGGATAGTAAGTTATTACTTTCTAAAAACCATTCTAGACGGTTTTTCACTAAATGTTCAGCTAGCTTTAGTAAGACAGAGGAAAGTGCAACAGGACGGAATGATGATGGTTCAGAAGGTGGTTTATGAGGCTTTAGAAATGGTATAATAATCTGAGACTTCCATGAAGTAGGTATATTTCCCGAAATAATTATGGAATTAATTATATTTAAAAAGTAAATTAATGTCGCATCGCTAGCATTTTTAAAAAAGGAATACGGTATACCGTCTTCTCCCGGTGCAGAGTCTTTAATAGAAGCTAGAACACCTTTAAGTTCTACTAGAGTAAAAGGAGAGTCAAGTTCGAATAATTCGTCAGAGACGGATAGAGAAATATTGTAAAGGCATTCCGGCACATAACTAGGAGCAAGGCGATCTAAAAATTTATTCGCTAAAGTTAAATCGAGTGCAGAACGTGATGTATGATCACTAAAGGCAGATCTGAATCTTTTAATATTATTCCAAACGACTGATGAATTAACTTCTGGACAGATAGAAGAACAAAATCTTCTCCAGCCTTCTAATTTCTTTTTTTTCAGTAGTTTTCGAGTAGAACGTGAAACTGCGGTGTAAATTTCAAAATTTTCTGGTGTCATGTAATTATTATAATTTTTTTCAGCCTCTTTACGATTTTTAATTGCTTCCGTACAATCTTTGTCCCACCAAGGTGGCGAGGGAATTTTCCCTGAAGCACTATTTTTAACAGGAAATAATAAATCAGCAACCTCCTTCATATTTATCATCAAGTCATTACAACATTGATGTTCATTTCCATGGTAAACAATAGGTAACTCCGATATTTTATTATCTAAATATTGTTTGTAAATATTCCAGTCTACATTTGATAAATTATATTTAAGCCGAGGACCACTCTTTCGACTTGAGGGAATGGAAATTGGAAAAGAAAGAATGAGGGGAAAGTGATCGCTTCCGAAGGTAGAGGAATGAGGATACCACGACAGTGAAGAAGCTAAATCAGAAGAACATATTGAAATGTCAGGAGCACTAAACCCTTCATTCGGTGCAGTTCTACGTGTTGGTACATCTGAGTTAATAATACATAAGTTGTAAGTGTCAATTATCGTCAGGAGTTTTCCACCATAAAAATTAGAAGTAGAACTGCCCCACGATTGGTGTTGAGCATTAAAATCGCCCATTACGAGAAAAGGTTTAGGTAAAATTGAAAATAATTGTTCTAGTTGTGAATATATTTGGCATGTAGGATCAGGAATATATAAAGTAACAAAACAGATACCATTTATAATTATAGCAGCTGCATTAATGCCGCTATATACAGGAAGCGAAAAAGAAGAAAAAGGAAGGGAGTTTTTGACCAATATGGCAACACCGCCATATCCGTCAGCTCTATCATCACGGAGACTTGTAAAGCCTGAAATCCTAAAAGGATATCCTGTCTTTAACCAAGTCTCTTGGAGAGCTATTATAAAAGGATTATATTTATTAATCAAATAAAATAAGTCTGATTTCTTGTTTGTTATGCTACGACAGTTCCACTGAATTATTAGGACTTTGTAATCCATTGTGAGAAGTTAATAATTGAGAAAATACATTGTAAATGGCATCGTTGGACGGTGGTAAAGTTGTTTGTATCATTTTCGATTGCGATAACACTTTAATAAGCATGAGAATAATATCAAAGATGGATTGATTATTGTCAATATTATTTGATGATAATGCACAACCATTAGAGGGAGCAGGAATATTATATTCCTTAACTATGGCTTCATGGGCAGAACGATCATATCCTTGTTGTGCTTTTTGAGGAGAGCGTGGTTTAAGTGTAACTGTTTTTTTATATGATGATTGAATATGTGGTAATGATGATTTCTCTTTAAGGAAAGAAGATTGAAAATGAGATTTATTGGACGGAGGTGATGATGTTAATACATCTGAATATAGTTTAGAAGTGGGAGGATGAAATTTTGATGCTTCAGCATAAGAAACACAACTGTGGGCCATTGTTTCTTTAATGGCTTTCTGACGTGCATATTCAGGACATTTCTTACTAATTGCTGAATGAGAACCATTACACAAGATACAAGAAACATTTTCCTCATCTACTTCACATTTATCACCTGTATGATTTAGCCTGCATTTATAACACCGAGGATTTGAACGACACTGCATCTTGACATGTCCGAACCTACAGCAGTTATAGCATTGGATAGTGGGGTAAATGTACAAATCTACAGTTAATGATGTGTAAAACATAAATACTCTTTTTGGTAATATTTGTCCATCAAAAGTAATAACAATGGTTTCAGTATTAATAAAACTTGGTTGTCCTTCATTAATGGTCTTTTTCTTAATTCTTCTGGTTTTTAGAATTCTCCCACAACCTATAGGTACTGATATATTTTGGATTACTTCCTCTTCTGTCCAATCTTTAGGAATACCCCTCACAATTCCCATACGGGTTACAT